GTTCGTATAGAGTCTAGGCTCTAAACAATCAAATTAGAGCCTACCTTCAAATAGTATCGAAAAATGTGGTTTCAACACTAAAAATCTTTGTGATAACCTTAAAATATATTTTCATCTTTATTTATAAAGTTTAAAGCTTCAAACATAGTGTAGATCAACATATCCATAAAAACTTGAAAATCTTGAAAATTGACGATCCAAAAATACATCACAAAATACACTATTTTCAAAACTCAAAATCCATTTTTTTCTTATGTCCATGCATTTGGATGTTGAGATAATCAATTTGAGGATATTTGGATATCAAAACAACATCTTCTAGTGAAATTTTTTAGGTAGGCTCTAATTTGATTGTTTAGAACCTCGGCTCTATATAAAAATTTCCTATATATATATAAATGCGGCACCGATGGACGAAAATAAACAATGTTGTCACTCATAGGCTTGACGCGGTCCGATTTTTTCAACGTGGATAAAAAAACTGGAACGAATCTACTATATTGACGGAGATTCTACGCATGTCATCAAATGGTTTGAGAGCCCTAACTTAGTCCCATGGCAATTGACCCTATCATAGATGAAATAATGCTCAATCTACAGGCCAGACAAGTCATCTTCAACCTCATTAATAGAGAAAACAATGGAGCAGCAGACAACATAGCAAAAAAGGCCACAGCTTAGCTTTTGTTGCCATCCCTCACGTTCTTCGACTCTTTACCCCACTGCCTCCATCTACTTCTCTTCTTTCTCTTTTCTCTTCTGTTATTTTCATCCTTCACTCCCATCTTCTCTCTCTCTCTAGGGCTTTCTCTATTTTTCTTATATGATGTGTCTTCTTGTTGTAATCTTTCATTCACTCAATAAAATCACCATTCAAAAAAAAAGAGGGGGAGAAAGAGAAGGAGAGTTGGGAAGATTTATCCAGTTTTTTAATTGATTTTCAAATTTTGGCATTTTTGTCCTAAATTGTACTGAAAAATGTCTTAGGGGGTGTTAAAAATGATTGTATACTATGAGACTATTTGCCTTTGTTATAAGGAAGTTACAATTATTAAGAGTCATTAAATGACAAATTAGATGACTTGAGATACGTCACAAAATTCAAAAAAAAAAAAATTAACATTGAATCTAGTCAATGATACACTTACGACCACCAAATTTAAAATTTGACAGACAATAGTAATTGTAACCTCACTATACTAAAAGAAAATGGTCTGTTTGTATACTTTTTCGAAAGGTAATGTAGTTTACGGTAACAAGAACATGGGATTTTTCAACAGGGACATTTCGATAAGAATGTTATAGCTTGAGGGGACTCCGTAATTTTCACATAATTTCCACATAAAAGTGTAGAGCTATATAGACCAGCAAGGCATATTCACCCATTGCACCAAGTGCGTGTGAGGCCTTTCATATAGAGATATTGGGCTAACTTTTGCAAGTAAAAAAGTTCGTGAAAACCAAAAATAAATAAATAACAAATAAAAATTTCCATAAGAACTAGGCGATCCGGCCAAGCTGGACCGTCCGATTCCCCATCACAACCATACAGTTTTGTTAAAAATCAGCTAATCCTTTTTGAGAACTACCCAGTTCCCAATATATTTTCTCATTGAATACCAATATGGATCAAGCATTTTTATAAAAAAAAAACGTTGTTATGAATGTGAGGCCCTAACTAATCAAATTAGGGTCACCTCAAAAACTTCACTAGAAGAGGCTATTTTGATGCCCAAATATCCTCCAATTGATCATCTCAACATCAATATGCATAGACATAAGAAAAAAAAATTGATTTCAAGTTTTGGAAATAGTGCATCTTCTAATGCAATTTTGAACCGTCAATTTTTGAGAATTTCATAGACCTGCTTGATCTTATACCATTTTTGAAGTTTTAAATTTTATAATTAGAGATAAAAATATATTTTAAGGCTATCACAAAGATTTCCAATATTGAAACCACAAATGTCTCAACACTATTTGAAGATGCACTTTATTTTGATTGTTTAGAGCCTCAGCTTTATACAAACCACACCCTTCTTATAAACCATGGTTTGCTCATTGTACACTAGAATAGTAATCAAACATGATAGAAAGTGAGCTCTCCCAGTCATCAATGTCGACTAGAATAATAATTCACCATCGGAAGTGATCTCGCCCATCCTCTCTCTCCCTCTCTCATACACAACCACATCAGTGTCGACAAGAAATAATAATCCAAAATTCCAAAATTATAAGTGATCTCTCTCTCTCTACT